CCGGCTCTTCGCCTCCTGCACCGGCCTCCGGGAAGGGGGGCCGCGGGAAGAAAGCCTTTCCTTCCCCGCAAGCCCCACTGCGAGCCCCTCCAGATATTCTCGGCGCCCCCACCCGGGCCCCGAGCGCCAGAGGGCCCGCCTTCGGAGATCCGGTCTGCCCAGACCCGGTCCCGCTCACTTCTTCAGGAAGGGGGCGCCGCTCGGTCAGCGTCCGCACGGCTGCACCCCAACGCCGCCCGCGGGGCTGCAGGCCCGGGTCCGTTCCCCGCTCGTCCGGTGGACGGGGTGGGGGTGGGGGTGCAGATTCGCCCGAGAAAACGCAGGGAGAGGGACGCGACCCTTCACTACCCACCCCACCGCAGGGTCATCGCTACGCTTAGGAACCTCTTCGGAATAGTTCAGAAAATTTCCGTTTTTCAAAAAATATGCTGTGGTACAATGGGCCTCGTGAAAGCAGAAACGCCCCAGAACCCTCGCGGGTCCGGGCTCTAGAAGCACCGCCTGCCCAGCTCCAGGGCTCCCGCGCACTGGAGGCCGGGCACTTCCGGCCCCTCCGGGAGGGCCGCGCCCCGCCCGTCTGGCGTCTGCCGGCCCCTGCACTTCCGCCCCGTCACGTGGAGAAGGGAGGCCGTGGGAGCTGCTTTCTGTGTCTTTCAGGTGGCTGGTGGGTTCTTAGCTTGCCTTCATTGCTCTTCTGAATTTCCTTTAATTTCTTTACTTTCCTAAGCTGGGGGGAGGAGGAGGCTAGAGGTGGAGAGAAAATGCCCATTGAAGACAAATTCTTTTTGTCTTTTTCAGGTCACCTGCTCCTTTTTAATTCCCTGCACAATTTCCGAAACTGAGGTTTTGACCTTGTTTTCCCCTAGAGCCTGGGCTAGTGCCTGCATTTAGGCACGCAATAAATGTTGAAAGAACTTCTGGGTAAGGGAGATCTATTCTTCAGACCTATAGTGCCTAGGGTGAGTGGGTCATCTCATCAGCTGACTTTTGACTTCTAGTTGAATTCAATTGAGAGGTTGCTAGGTAAGTGGCTTTTAAGGGGAGTTATTTATTTATTTAATTCCATTAGTTATTATTATTTTTAATTTGACAAGACAGAGAGAGAAAGGGAAAACAAAGCAAGCCTCCAGGTACAGGACTCCAACTGTGGTTTGCCATGTGGGAATCCAGCGCCCTTAACCCCGGCCTCTCCTGCCCCGGGAGTGGCTTTTATATAAGCACTTTGGTGTTATTTTAGGAACACCTCCCAAGTAAATTAAGGGCATCTCCAAGAATTGTTGAAAATGTTGTCTTGAACTTATTTATGTATATGAGGTAAAATGCTGAGATTTTAGTGAGGTTTTTCAACCTTTCCATTAAGTTTTTTCTTTCCGTTTCGCTTTCTTTTCAGAGTTTTACAAGGCTATGACTTAGTGGTTAAGGGAGCAAGATTCCACATGGAGGGGGGAGTGTTGGCCCGGAGTGAGTGCATGCCGGAGTGAGTGCATGCCGTGTGTGCCCCACGTCCCTACAGGATACAGAAAGAGGAGGAGGGAGTGCAGCAGTCACATTCCATTGAGGTCTGCTTTCTGTCTTTCTACTTCTCTGCCTCTCACTCTGGGAGTGAATGCACTCTGGTGTAATAAATGGAAACAAAACAGTTTTACTGTATTCTCCCCCCTTACCCAAAGAAGATGCATTTCAGGACCTTCAGTGGATGCCTGAAACCCACGGATGGTACTGATCTCTATATATACTATTGGGAGGTTGGTAAAGTCATGAATCATTTTTGCATAGAAAAATACTTCATGACTTTGCGGATAATCCAGTATATTTTTCCTATGTGTACATTACTATGATAAAGGGTAACTTATAAATTATGTACAATTAGAGAGTAACAACAATAAATAGAAAATAGAACAGTTACTACCATATACTGTCAAAAGTTCTGTGAATGTGGCTTTTCTCTTTCTGTCTGTCTCTGTCTCTCCTCTCTCTCTCTCTCTCAAACTATCTTACTGTACTGTACTCACCTATTTTGGGACCAGGGTTGACTGTGGTAACTGAAACCATGGGAAGTGAAATCATGGATCAGGAGGAAGGGGGCTACTGTACTTTCCCTGGTAGGAGGTCAAGACCTCATGAAATGAAGTTAATCTTTTGTAGCCAATTTGAGGCGGAAACTAAGATTTCTCTTTTGCCTTCCTGCTGCTATAGTTTAACAGTTGTCAACCTTAATTCCCTTCTGTGTTGTGTCTTCTGCATCATTCAGCAGTTCTTATTCTTTGTAATAATTTGTTTTTAAATGTCATAAGAACTTTTTGTAATCATGAAACAAATCTTAGAGTTGTGTAGTTGCAAGACTAGTTTTAGTCAACACATACTAAATACATATTTTACTGAGCACCAGTTGTGTAATCCACAGACTGTTTCCTGGAGCATTTAATGTCCCACTTTCGTTGATTGTAAAATAGTGAAAATATACCACCCAAGTAATCAGAAAGTAATTTGAAATATTACAATTGCTAACCAAATGTAAAGCATATTTATTAGCACCATTGTTAAGGGGGTGTCAGAGGCATACAAATAGGACCTGTTACCTATCCTTTGGGAACTTACAATCTAGTTGGGCATAAGTAATTAAGCATAAATTGAGAGCAACAGTTATTAAGCAATGTACAGTGTCTGGCATATTGAAGACATTCAGCAATGATTGCCTCACATTAAATGCAGTTGTGACCATTCTTTTGACAGAAATATGATACAGATAAGAAGGGAAGAACTAATTGGAAAAACTTTAATGGAGAAAATAAATTTGTCCTTTATATATCACATATGAAGATTGGGATATGCAACCTGTTTGTGCTTGAGGAGGAAAAGGTGACATAAATTAAAAATGAGAAAAATGTTGGATGACATGGCATTGGGTGGCAAATCATAGGAAATACAAACTCCATGCAGAGGAATTTGTATCTGATCCTCGATGTGTTAGAGAACTATGTCGGTCCTGTGAGCAGAGGATGGTACTATTAAAATTGACATTTGTTTTTAAAATGATTTTAGGGACCGGCAGGGGGTGTGGTGGTTAAGGTGCTGGACAGTCCCACATGGGCAACCATGGTTTGAGTCCCGGACCTGGCAGCTTGCTTTCTCACTTTCCTTCTCTCTCTCTTTTTCTGTGTCTCTTTCTGGTCAAATTAAAATAAATGAATGAATAAATAAAAATAAATAAATAAAATTTTAAAAAAAGTTTTAAAAATGATTTTAGTCAGCTACTGAGTTTAGGGAAAATTGAGGCAGAGTTGGAAAACATTCTGGTACAATTCTAGAATGTGATATTGCTGGAGAAAGGGTGTAGTTGGAACATCATTAGGACTCCTTTCTCCTAATTTTGTACAATAGAAATTACATGGAAATGAGGGAATCAGGAATGAGTCTTGACTAGGACAGGAGCCACAGAACCACTGGAATCAGCACTACCAACTTATTTTTCATTATTGGCAGTGATAAAGAATGTTAGATATTGACAGATGGTGACTAACCTCAAAATATCTTCTTCACCAGTTCAACTCAACATATGTATTTTTTATCTACCCATTATTCAGTTGCAGTAATTCTCAACTGAGGGTGATTTTGTATCCCCTGCCGGAGACATTTCTAGCAATAGCACCAGTGGAGTCACAATTGGCATCTAGTAAGTAGAAGCCAGAATATTGCTGAACATCTTATAGTCCTCCAACAGCAAATTATTCTGTCCAAAATGTCAATAGTGCCAAGGTTAAAAAACCTTAGATATGGAAACGAGCATGAACTCTAACTCTGGAAAGCCAAACTCTGAGTCCCAAGCCTTAACTGCTATTACAGTACTAATCTCCATTGAAGAACTACTTTGCTCAGTGAGAGAAATACAACTCTTTAAAGGGTATTATCTCTGCCTAGTCCTGAGGACTTAGAAATATGAAAATCAGAAAAGTACCTTCTTGGATTTTCCACTTTTTATAAAATAGAGCTAGAAATCTTCCTTCAGGATTTGTCATCTAAATGTTATTTATTAAATTAATAAAATGTGCCTTTGGAGTTGCTTAGCAACTTAGGGAAAGCTTGCTTTTTAAAAGTTCATTTGTTTGTTTAAAAGCAGAGTAGGTTGCATATTATTAGCTACATTACATAAATCAACAAAGAAATGTACACTGAAAATGGAATAAGATGTTTCAACACTTTTCTGCTCTCCCTGTCTGGCAATTAAAACACTTTAATTGTCTGGTAGAATTGCATCAAGTCTTCGACAAACATTATTTATGTATGAAATTTCAACATAATATTGAGTATATAAGGGAACTAAAGGGGAAAAATTAAGCAGGTTTGTCATAAAGTATGTGTTTATCTTAACCTTTCTTCTTCAAAAATCTTATCTACTAAGTACTTTTATCAGACACTAATTATACTCTTTCTGAAAAGAATTTCTACAACACCCTTCAGTGACTGCACCCTTTAATCATATCTCATTACATCTACCTAATCCATATCTTTTCACATTGCCAGGACTCATTAACAGTTTTAAAAGCCAATCTTGGACATTATCATTCCTTGTAATTGAAGTGAAAATAATGCCAATAATATTTTATTTCTATTATAAAATGTAACGGATCATTCGAATGTTATTCTCAAGGCATTTTTTCCTTTTAATATTAATGAGAAATTAACTTTCAAGCATGCATTAAGCTAGCAGGACTGGTGAGATGTGTCTGAAAACCCTAAAGCACCTTTTTGAAGAAGTTATTTTTATAAGCTGTTTTAACAGTGGATCATCAGTCACTTTGAAGGGAAGTGATCCTTGATTAACAGTTGGCTGATACTGTGTTTCCACAGATGTGTTGCAGCAACACAGGTGCTACCTGTGAAACAGGACAGGTAATTCTCAGGGTCTAGCATTTTCATTTTCTGACTGAAAAATATAAAAGCTTGAATGGCTCTTCATCTTTGCATATAATTCCATTTAATTATTGTAGACGGGATAAACCGAATATCCCAGTGAAGTGATGAACTACAGGCACCACGTTTCTTCATGAAATTTTTAGAAAGGTAATACACTTGGATAGAACTTTATTCCTTTTAGAAAAGGAAGTGTGGGGACCACAGGTGGTATGGTGGTTAAGGTGCTGGATCCCACATGGCTGGCTGCACAACTCCAATCCCAGACTCAGTGGCTTGAAAATCATGCTGGGGTGCATGTGTATGCATGCTCCAAATCCCGAGATAGACATGGAGAAGGGACTGTGATGTGGCCATCCCCTCTGCGGTGGGATTTCTCACTTTCCCTCTCTGTCTTTTCTGGCAAGTGCATACTCCCTATGACAAAAAACTAGGGGTGGGGGGGAAGAAGAAGAAAGAAAAGGAAGCGGTGATCAAATTTATAGTTACATGACTAAATAGACTCATGATAATAATATTTTAGGACTTGAGAGTCAAATTTTATTTCTCAGAATCTAACTACTGAGGACTAACAAATTATCCTCTAAAATGGAAGCTTCTTCCACCATTATAATTAAACTCAAGATTCTTGAAAGAAAACTTTAAGAGTCCTAGAACAAAAGCTTTGTTCTCTTTCTTTTTCTCTTTCTTTTTCCCTTCCCTTCCCTTCCCTTCCCTTCCCTTCCCTTCCCTTCCCTTCCCTTCCTTTCCCTTCCCTTCCCTCTCTCTCTTTTTCTTTTTCTCTTTCTTTGTTTCTTTCTTTCTTTTTTTTTTTTTTTTTTCTATAGTGTGTATGCACTCACTGGGAGTGAGGGCGGAGAGAAAAAGTGAGAAAGCAAACACTATGGGGGAATGGCTATGACACAATCCCTTCTTCTCCATTCTCCTCTTGGAATTTGGGCATACATATGTGCCTGGCATGTTTTTTTTTAAGCCGCCAGGCTCAGAAATTGAACTACGTCGTTGGTCTTATGGGATCCAACTCCCTAAACCACCATGCCACTGGCTGACCCCTTAATCTTATTATGAATTATTCTAATAAAAAATTGGCAGGGCCAGCAGATGGCATGGTGGTTAAGGTGCTGGACTCCCACATGACTGACCACGGTTTGAGTCCTAGACATGGTGGCTTGCTTTCTCGTTTTCTCTTTCTCTCTGTATGTGTCTCTATCTGGTAAAATTAAAATAATAATAGTAGTGTTAAAATAATAATAGTAGTGATGAATGGAATTAAATAAATAAATAATTATTTGAAAAAAATTTTGGTAAACTTAGCAACATAGGAAAACCACACTGAATTTTAAAAAATTACAAGGACAGTATTAATATCCTTTTGAAGTTGTTTTTGCCTTTATGACTTAATTTTTATTTTTGTTTATTTCTGTCTTAAGACATTTTGTCTTTTATGTACTGACTGTTTATCTTCTTGTCTTTTTTATGTTGTTATTCAGAGGATTTTTCATTGGTCAGTATAAGGAAGGCTACGATGATCATCCACTTCACATCGAATGCTATATAATCAACAGTGTGCTGTTTTCAACCAGAGATTTCCAAGTACGGAGCTATCCAACTCAAGGAAAAGAGCTGGATCCAGGCAGAAGGGCATTTGGGGAGGAACACAGTTTTTATAGTACTCATGGTGGGTCTCCAAAGAAAGTTGCTTCAGCATTCTTTTTCCCTTGAATACTTCTCTCTGCAGGATCCTCCAGACTCTAAACTACTGAATAGGTTCCTAAGTCGATCCAGATCTCACGTGTCTGAACTGTTGGTCATCTTCCCACCCTCTAGCTCTACAGGTAAAGAGGAGATAATAATAAAGGAATAAAAACTATTTGTTTCTGTCTGAATTATTCCACTCTTGAAGCAGCCTGGTGAATTAATTAGCCTCATTATTGCATTTACTATCACACACACGCTTGTTTGTGGAATGTGCACCCCTTGGCATTTGCCTAGTTGTACAAAGAAACACTGAGACTGTGGCATTGGAGTTTGCTTTTGAAGAGAATGGCGCTGTGGCAGCATAAAGCTTGGACAAATTCAACTTTTTCATTGATGAGGTGCAACTGGCATGGCGACATCTTTCTCTGACATCATATGCCAGATTTTAGTTATTCTGGGCCATGTCTCCTTCCTGAACAATAGTTTTGCTTAGTGTGGAGTTCGGTGCCATTATAAAGAGACATGGTACCTCTTGTAGGGGGAGTTTGGAGAACTTTACCTATCAATCTAGATGTGTTATGATGATTAACTGAATTGTGTGGACATGCTGATTTTAACCTCAGTGAAAAAGAAGAAAGAAAGGTATTTATCCTCACTCATTTCTCATAAATAGGCAGGGTTTTTCATTCTGTGTTATCCTGGAATTCTTTCCATTTTTGTTGGTTCTTATAGATTATAATGAGAGGCAACAGCAAGAAATTTGGAATAAAGGATACGAGATTGGCCCTTGATTCTTAAATTTCAGGATCAACACAAAATAGGTGCAAACATGCTCAATGTTTGTTTATTTTAGAGACAGGGTCTGACCATGTTGAGCAGGCTGATTTTGAACTTAGGATCCTCCTGCCTCAGCCTCCTGAATAGCTGGGATTTACAGCCACATGCCACTTCACTGGATTACAAAATTATCTGAAAAGATCAAATTAATTTCTGTACAGCAGAATTTGACTCAGACTAATCGAAGATATTAACATATCCACAGAAACATTCTTAGCCATGAAAGCAGATGAAGAAGTCAGAAGGCAGTGTAGGATAAACCTATTCAAATATCTTTTGGAGATGAGGGAAGAAACTTCAATCCATTAGACCTAGTCCCAATGACAAAGACTATTTCTATCATGACTGAATATCAAGCTATTTCAACTTGAGTCTAATAAATATGCTATTCATAATAGTATCTTTATTCTCGATTTGTTTTGCAAGTAATTTCCTCATTATTAGTTGGCTTTCAAAGTAATTATGCTCTTAGAAAATACACTAACACACATTTCATGTACATTATTTTTTTAAATAATTATTTTATTTAACTTTATTTATTTATTTATCTGACCAGAGAGGGACAGAGTGAAAGAGAGAAAGTGAGAAAGCAAT